TTTAATGGTATTATAATATTCTTTATAGTTAATATACCTAGTTGACTTGAATGGCTTTCATTGATTTTTTAAGTTGTTTCCTTTTTTTTTTTTGGTCGGGGGGAGATTTAAGACAGGATTTTGCCACATAGCCTAGGCTGGCCTTAAAATTACTACAGAGAGGGGCTGGGAGCTAGCTCAGTAGAATAAGCACTTGCCTAGCAAGTGCAAGGGCCCGAGTTCAATCCCCAGTTCCACCAAAAAAAAAAGAAAAAAAAAAAAAGAAAGAAAAAAGAAAGAAAGAAATTACTACAGAGCTCATGCTGATCTCAAATTAGTGATCATCCTACCTAACAGACATGTGCCACCATATGTAGGACTCCAATTATTAGAGAGTGCCATAAATTCTTCGTATAAAAGGTTTTTTCGTGAATTCTTTAGCATATCTTTTCAGAATTCCACTAGTGGGACAATGAATTTATAGTTCTTGGTAGGGTACTTTTCAAAGGTGTTATACTGACTCCTGATGCTATGGGTGCTATTGGGCAATAATGACATATTACTTGTCAATAGTTATGGACTTTCTAAGCAAGGGCTGTAAACGGATACCAGTTGTCCAAAAATAGTTTGACTCTTGTTTTCTTCACTGGCCTGTCTATTATCACAAGCATTTTAGTACTTTCCCTTTAAAGAATATGGAAATATAAAAATAGTATAATAAAGATCTATATAGTGACAACCCAGCTAAATCTTAACATCAGTTTATTTTAAAAATAAAGCATTAAGTATTATGCATGCCGTTCTACATATTATCTCCTCTCCCTTTGTGGAGGAGCACCTGAGCAGCTCTCCTTGAAAGAAGAGCGACTGTTTCCATTTTGACTGAGCCTGACCCTATTTCCTCATATTGTCCTGTACAGAGCTGGCTAGGACTTCTGTTTATCCTTCAATTGGCCTTAAGTAATGCATATTGGTCTAATTTCCATGTATTTAAGGTTTTTTTCAGGTTTCTTTTGTCATTTATTTCCAGTTTCATTGCACTGTGGTCAGATAATGTGCATGGGATAATTTCTATTTTCTTACATGTACT